CCACTCAGCAGTCATTAGTTGAAATGGTTCCCATGCACACACAGCTATTTGCTGGTGCTGTCAGTCCCAGAAAGAATAGGACATGAACTTTGCTTTCACAAAACTTTATGGTTCCTGCCAGGTACTTATTGCTACACCCTTACGTTCATTTATGGCCAGTCTCTTCCCTTTTAAATGACAATTTGCTTGAGATTAGGGGTGTGTGTGTGTGTGTGTGTGTGTGTGTGAAGTAAGTTTTTTGTTTGTTTTTTTGCCATGCCTTCCTGGGCTCAGAACTTAATCCTGGTTCAGGGATCGTTCCTTGTCGGGTTTAGAGGATCGAATGTGGTGCTGTGGGTTGAACTGGGGGCGAGCACCTTGTCCCCTCTCCAGCTTGATTTAGGTTGTGTTGTTGTTGATGATATTGCTTTTGTTTGGGGCCACAAAAAATTGAGGTATTGTTAATGAGACTTTGTTCTTGGCCAACCCATATCCCTATTATTATTAAATTTATCTTATTTCACTTACTGATCATCATTAGCTGTCATAGCTTTAAGATTAATTTATGTGTATAAATTAAAAAAAACTTGGTTAAAAAAACTTCAAATAGGGGCTGGAGAGATAGCACAGCAGGTAGGGCGTTTGCCTTGCACGTGGCCCACCCGTGTTCGATTCCCAGCATCCTATATGGTCCCCTGAGCAACGCCAGGGGTAACCCCTGTGCATCGCCAGGTGTGACCCAAAAAAGCTTCAAAAAACCCCTTCAAATATAACATATTCATATTTAATACTAAAATCTGAAAATTAGGGCTGGAGAGATAGAATAGTGGGTCAAGTGGTTGCCTTGCGCAGGACTGACCCGAGTATGGTCTCTGGCATCCTATATAGTCCCCCGAGCACCATCAGGAGTAATTCCTGAATGCAAGGCCAGGGGTAAGTCCTGAATATTGGCAGATGTAGTGCCAAACCAAAATATATAATTTAAAAAAAACCTCTAAACATCACCCTTTATTCCTTTGTACCACTTATTTTTATTTGTTTTCTTTTTGGGTTATATCATGTGGTGCTGGGAGGGGCCCATCAGGACCACACCTGAGTTGTGCTTTGGGGACCCTAAGGTGTCAAGGATCAAACACAGGGTCTTATACTTTATGTATGCAAGACTGACCCTTTAGTTCACACTTCTGGCCTACAAAGAGATATTTTTATTAGCCATTTATTTTTTTTCTGTGAATTATTTATATAGCTTTTGCTTTTTTTTCTATTTATTTCCCATAGAATTATTTACATGCGCATTGCATATTTTATTATTAAAAATAATTAAAAAATTTAGTTTTGGTTTCACATGCAGTGGTGCTCTGGGCTTACTCCTGGCTCTGTGCTCAGGAATCACTCCTGGTTCTGCTCAGGGGACCTTATGCAGTGTCCGGGATTGAAGCAAGGTCATCCATGTGCAAGACAAGTGCCTTAATCCCTGTACTGTTTCCAGCCTCCTACATATTATTGGACTGGAGCTATAGTACAGCTGGTAGGGCATTTGCCTTGCACGTGGCTGACCTGGGTTCGATTCCCAGCATCCTGTTTGGTCCCCCGAACACCACCAAGAGTAATTTCTGAATGCAAAGCCAGGAGTAACCCCTGCGCATCGCCAGGTGTGACCCAAAAAGGGAAAAAAAAAAACCTCTATGATATCAATTATGACCAGGTACCTCCGTAACAAATAACAAAATAATATTAAAATACATAAAAACTACCTACTTCTTGAGCCTGCTAAGTGTGACTTCAAAACAAAACAAAACAAAACAAAAAAACCCCAAACACTCTCTATTCCTCAATTCCAGTTTGAGTAGATAACATATACATACTTTCTATTTTTTAAGTGATATGTTTATTTATTTATTTATTTTTGCTTTTTGGGTCACACCCGTGTTGCGAGGGGTTACTCCTGGCTCATGCACTCAGGAATTACTCCTCGCGGTGCTCGGGGGCCCATATGGGATGCTGGGAATGGAACATGGGTCGGCTGCGTGCAAGACAAATGTCCTAACCACTGTGCTATCTCTCCGGCCCCTTAAGTGATATATTTAGGATAATTCTTTTTATTTGTTTAGGGACCACAGCCAATGCTGGTCAGGGACTGCTTTCTGTCTCCTTGTGTCCTAGGCAGCATACTCTCTAGAATTTTGAGCCATTTCCCTGGCCCTGGAAGAGTTCTTTGTATATTAAGAAAATTAACCCTCATCTTTCAATAAATCTGGTCTTTTGTTACCTCAGTAGTTGTTATAGACTTTCAGATTAAATAGTCTAATCTATGTTTCTCAACTTTTTTTTTTTAACCAAGGCCCCCTTCTGAACTTGTTTTTTGTTTTCCTCTGACCCCCTGACTTCTCAGTTGGTCCCATTCTCTCAAGTAGTGACTCCCCCATTTATGTGAGTATAAGTTGTTACCCCTTGGGATATCTTGACGATCCCTGGGTCTCTGGTAGAGAAATGTTGATCTAACCTATTTACTTTTTTTTTTCTTCCCTCCCTCCCTCCCTCCTTTCTTTCTTTCTTTCTTTCTTTCTTTCTTTCTTTCTTTCTTTCATGTCACACAGTGCTCAGGGCTCAGGGCTTGCTCCTGGTTCTGGACTCAGGAATCGCTCCTGGTGTAGCTAGGGGGAACCATATGTGGTGCCAAAGACCAAACCCAGGTTGGTCATAACAAAGCAAGCACCTACCTAGTGTACTATCTCTTCAGTCCCCTATTCACTTTCTATAGGAGGAAATGGAATTGTAAATAGTATTAATTATCTTAAATTTATTTTTATTTGTTGATTGATTAGGGCTGGAGCGATAGCACAGCGGTAGGACGTTTGCCTTGCACACAACCAACATGGCCAACCCGAGTTCGATTCCTCCGCCCCTCTCGGACAGCCCGGCAAGCTACCGAGAGTATCTCGCCCGCACGGCAGAGCCTGGCAAGCCACCAGGCAAGTGACGTATTCGATATGCCAAACACAGTAACAACAAAGTCTCCAATGGAGACGTTACTGGGCCCGCTCGAGCAAATCGACGAACAACGGGAGGGCCTTTACCTTACCTTTACCTTGTTGATTGATTAAACACTGGGAATTGAGCCCAATACCTCACAGATTTGAGTCATGTGGTCTACCACTGAGCTATGACCTCTACCCCATTACTAAGTTTTGTTTATTTTTTCCCATTACTGAGTTTTAAAAAATTGTATGTTTGGACTGGAGCAATAGCGCAGTGGGTAGGGCACTTGCCTTGCACACAGCCAACCCAGGTTCAATTTCTGGCATCCCATAAGGTCTCTTAAGCTTGCCAGGAGTGATCCCTGAGTGCAGAGCCAGTCAGTGGTAAGCCCTTGTGTACTTTGGGGTGTGGCCCAAGAACCAAAATAAATAAATATTTACTTTAGAAAGCATGTAATCAAGGTAGCTGAGGTGAAACCAGAATTAATTTTCCTTCCAATTTGGTGGTGGTTTTCCATTATATTATACTTTTTTTTTAAATGCCACACCCTGCAATAGTTTGAGACTCTGTGCCTAAGAGTCACTCCCTGGGACCTTGTGTCACTGGGATTGAACCCAGACCTCCTGCATGCAAAGTGTTCTTTAGTCCACCAAGATCTTTCTCTGGCCTTATATCATACTGTCACTGTCACTGTCAACTGTCCTCCCATTGTTCATCGATTTTCTCGAGCAGGCACCACTAATAACATCTCCATTGTGAGACTTGTTGTTACTGTTTTTGGCATATCGAATACTCACGGGTAGCTTGCCAGGCTTTGCCGTGTGGGCGGGATACTCTCGGTAGCTTTCTGGGCTCTCTGAGAGGGGCGGAGGAATCGAACTCGGGTTGGCCATGGCGGACGTGTACAAAGCAAACACCCTACACACTGTGCTATCGCTCCAGCCCATATCATACTATTATTATTATATTAGTTTGCTCTTTAAGTCACTCCCAGTGATGCTCAGGGGTTACTCCTGGCTCTGCACTCAGGAATTATTCCTGGCAGTGCTCAGGGGACCATATGAGATGCTGGAGATTGAACCCACACCAGCCGCATGCAAGGCAAACACCCTCCTTGCTGTACTATTGCATGCAAGGCAAATACCCTCCATGCTGTACTGTCACTTCAACCCATGTTATTATTTTTTTAATGTTTGTTTTTGGGCTACACCCAGAAGTGCTTAAAAGCTCAAGAGTTACTCCCAGCGGTGCTCAGGGGACCATGTGTTACCAGAATCAAAGTCCAGGCCTTTAGCATGCAAAGTGTGTTCTCAGCTCATTGAGATATTTCTCTGACCCTATTGTACTATTGTTAGTTAAGGCTTAAACACTACTTTTTCACATACTTATTTTTATCATTAGGTATTGCCTACAATAAGAGGTCTCATGGTAAACTTAATTGAAACCCAAGCACAAAATTTGTAAGTCCACAACTGTACCCCATGGTATCTCACTAATAAAAATTAAAAAAAAATTTATCACATGGGGGCTGAGAGATAGTAAGCCCTTGTACAGTGACCCCAAACCTGGCTTCTATTCCCAGCATCCCATATGATCCCCCAAGCCCTCCCAGGAGGGATCCCTGAATACCAAGGTAGTAGGGCTGGAGCAATAGTATGGTGGGTAGGGCGTTTGCCTTGCACCCGGCCAACCTGAGTTCGATTCCCAGCATCCCATATGGTCCCCTGAGCGCCGCCAAGAGTAATTCCTGAGTGCAAAGCCAGGAATAACCCCTGTGCATTGCCGGGTGTGACCCAAAAAACCTGAGTACCAAGGTAGGAGTAAACCCTGAGTACAGCCAGCTGTGCCCCTCCCCGTCTCCCAGTAAATAAATCATTATCTTATCATCCTGGCATCATTATTTGAGTGGACACAGGGTTATACAGGAACCTTGGGAACTCACAGGTATTAGATTGTTTCTGATGCATGAATAACTAGTTTCTCTTTATGTGCTTGTGTTAATGTCTGTTTCATTTGTTTAAAATATATCTGTTGTTTTGTAGGTTCATGGGCGTGTGTGTACATCAAGGGCAATTACATGCACTTACAGAGGTATGACTTTAATACATATGTTGAAGTGAATTTCCTTCTTAATTTTAGCATTTGTGACTGTATAGTAATTGTTACTTGCATATATAAACAAAATGTGTGTGCATTTGTTTGTGGAAAAATTTCATAACAAAATACTTATGTTTCCTGGGGGCTGTGGCCATATCTCTTAGTACTCTTAAATTCACTCATGATATTTGGTGAGTGCTTTGAGAGTATCAGTGCTCACATCTGTTGGTTCTCGCTGCCTGAATGATCCCTTCTGTGCTATGAAATAACACCACTTGACAGTAGACTCTACCATGACAAGTGCCCAACTACCCAGAAATATTTGGTGATGTCATTGAGAATTCCACTCTTCCTGCTTTAGTTTCCCAGTTGGTCTTATTTCTTCTCGGACCTTGGGAGTTTATTTGAAAGTTGTAGCAGGGGAGCACAGCTACTTGTATACCCTCTACTGAGGAAAGGTCCTTGTCTATTCCGGGAAGCCTGTCCTCTTTGACTGAGCACGCAGCTTTGGGAAGGACACGCTTGGAACAGTGAGGGAGGAAGGGAACAGTTTCCTGGCCAGCCAGATCAACCGAATCAAACCTGGTGATCAATGGTGTGACAGATGTCTCAGCTAGATCTCCCTCACATCCCTCCCTTATTTCTCCTTGGAATCAGGTTTCGATCTCCATTTTAATTTTATTTTTAGCTTTTGCTGAATAAATAAATACATATTAGTCATCACTCAGGTTCTTAGGACCAGAGAATCCTCTCTCAAATAAAGGTTTTCTAAATCTCAGTTACTGGACTATCAGCTGTAGGATTTGCTTCTGTGCTTTTTAGAAACGTAGATTTCTACAACATTCTTGGTTTAGGAGGTTTGCATAAGGCCCGGTTTTATTTTTAAAAGCTCCCAAGATTATACTATTGGACATCTAGATTTTGAAAACCTATGTCCTATGACCATATTTCTCAAAGGGTTAATACCACAGTAGGGACCAGGGAACTCTGGAACAATCCAGGGTGGACAGTAGTAGCCCCAAGTGTTTTTAGGGTTCAGTTGATTTCAGTTGGCAGATCAGGCTGTGTTTTCCTGGGGCAACTTTGTGCTAGCTGTTTCTCATCTTTCTCATGGTTTTCTTTCATCTTTCATTCTATTTTTTTGGGGGGGGGGGTTAGAGTGCACACCCAACAGTGCTCAGGGTTTACTCCTGACTCTGCCCTCAGGGATCACTCATGGTGGGACTCAGGCGACCATCTGTGGTGCCTGGAATTGAACTGGGTTAGCCATATGCAAAGCAAGCATCTGACCCTCTGTACTATCTCTCTGTCTCCTGGCCCATATTTATTATTTTTGCTTTTGTCATTCTCCTCATGGGAGCAAGAGCCTGACTTGGACGTGTCCATTTTCAAAATAACAGGAGTATGGCCACCTATCATCATCATGCTCTTCCTGATTTTTCTTGTGTTCAAGTTTACTTGGCCAGCATCTCATTAGACAAAACAATCACATGCATAAGAGCTTCCTATATAATTACATGTCACAGGGTTTGAATTTACTAAGGGATAAAGAAATGGAACTATTGATTCATATCTTGTGTTCTCTAAATTCTTAAATCAGCATATCAAAATTATTTGTCTTTTCTATCATCCTTGGGGATAAAGACTATTTTCCAGGGCTGGAGCAATGGTACAGCAGGTAGGATGCTTATCTAAGGGAAGTTGGGGATAGAACCCAGTACTGCTGTGTGCAAAGCAAGTTCCCTGCCTGCTGTGCTGTCTTTTTCGCCTTGAAGGCATTTGCTTATTTGTTTGTCGGTTTTGGCCAAACCAGCACTGCTCAGGGATTACTCCTGGCTCTGCACACAAGATACTCTTGATGGTGGTCAGGGAACCAAATAGATGTTGAAGATCAAACCTGGGTTGGCTGTATACAACTTGCTGTGCAGTCTCTCCAGACTTTGGATGCATTTTAATTTATTTTTATTAATTATGTATTTTGGGTTTGGGGCCACACGTGACAGTGCTCAGGGCTTACCTCTGGCTGTGTGCTGTTACTCTTGGTGTGGGTTGGGGCACCACAGGGGATGCTGGAGATCCAACCTAGAGTCAGATACCCTATATGCTGTACTGTCATTCCAGTCTTCACTAGGAGCATTTTTAAAGCATTTTAAGAAAGGCCTAAGGAGGCTGGGAAAAAAGCTCAAAGGAGCATATGCTTTGCATGAGAGAGGCCCAGATTTGATTCCTGGCACATCATAGGCTCTCAGCATTGTTGGGAGTGACCTCCAGCATTGTACAAGGAAGTAGCACCCGCTGGCTGTGCCTCTCTCTTCTCCCCTCCAAGGAACTGCATCAAGAGGGAAGTGATCTCTTTATTAAGCTTTATTACGTTTGGGGGTACTGGCGGAGGGACAAAGCCACGCGGCTTCCGGGGCCGAGATCTCCAAGCCTACTCGGATTGGAGTTGAGCATCCTCCACCCAGATCCTCCAAATTCCAGTAGACGGGGGTCACACCCACCACCTGGCCCCCTGGTGCCGTGTAATGCCATCAGCGGCCAAGACTCAGAGACTAAAATCCAGCTCCCGGACATCTGACATCTTATCAGGACATCTTTTTATGACATCTTATTATCTCATTCCTACTTTGGACAAACTTGCAGGCTATGTAATGTAGCCTGCCCACAGGGCAGAGTCTGGCAAACTCCCCGTGGCGTACCCAATATGCCAAATACCAGTAACAATGATGGGTCTCATTCTCCTAAAGAGCCTTGAATATAATCTCAGGGCTAGGATGAAGGAGACGTTACTGGGGCCTGCTCGAGGCAATCGACGAATAACAGGATGATGAATGAATGAATGAATTACGTTTGGGGAATCTTTTTCACAGCTTCTCAATGACTAGAAGACTGGGCCCTGGGAGAATGAGAAGAGTATAAGGTTGTGGGGCATGTTTCCTAGGTGATAATATTCTCTGGTCAGGGAATTAGCAAAAGGACTCTGTGGTGGGTTGGGGATTCTCCTGCCTTCTCTTGATGAAGAAGCTATACTTTTTCTTCTGTGGCAATGAAGGCCACTCTATAGACTTTGTAATTGCTTAGTAATTGCTTGACCATCTTTGACTCCCCATTACATCTCCCGCAATATACTTTTGTTGTTACTTCTTTGTTTGGGGGTCACACCTGGTGGTGCTCAGGGCTCACTTCTGGCGCTGTGCTCAGGAATCACTCCTGGTGCGGCTTTGTCAGGGGACCATGGAGGGTATTAGGGATACCTGGGTCAGCTACATGCAAGGGAATTGCCCTACCCACTGTGTCTCTCTGGTCCCTCACTTAATATACATTACCAAAAAAATTAACAATACTTACTCTGGGGGATCAAAGGGCTAAAGTGCATGCTTTGCATGCAGAATCCCCAGGTTCTCTTCCTGGTACTGGAATAGCACAGCAGGTAGGTCATTTGCCTTGCACATGGCTGACCCAGGTTCGATTCCCAGCATCCCATATGAGCACCGCCAGAAATAATTCCTGAGTGCAAAGCCAGGAGTAACCTCTGAGCATTGCTGGGTGTGAACCAAAAAAAAAAAAATTACTTTAGAAATTCCTTGTTTATGAGGGTTAATGTGTCTTGTTTTCATCAGACTTATAAGAAGCCTCATAGAATCAAGGAGCTTACAATGAAAGGAAACTCTGTGGGTTCAGTGACCAAACTCATGCATTATTGATAAAAAGCAAGTATCCAGACCCCGATTTTAGTTTCTTGGGGTGCTATGATATTGCCATTGGCTGTGCCTGCTCCTTTTCTTTTGTGTGTGTGACCTAGTACAGAGTATTCTCTTGTCCTTATTTACCTGCAGTCAGATGCAAATTTATCTGGAGGTTTGGTTTTGTTTTGTTTTGGTTTTGGGCTACGCCCAGCGGTACTCAGGCCTTACTCCTGGCTCTGCACTCAGGCATCACTCCTGGTGGGACTCAGGGGAGCATACCGGGTGCCAAGGTTTGAATCTGGGTTTGGCTATGTGCAAGGCAAATGCCCTGCCCTCTGCTCTGGCCCCTGACTGGTGGTTTTGATCATAGGCTGTCTTGGAAGGTTTTTACTTCTTCTTGGTAGTTTAAGTGGAATGATCACAAGTATCAGCAACCGTTGTCTCTCTTGGTGGTTGTGGTGGGGGTCAGGAGGTAGTTAGGCCATACCGGGCTGTACACTCAGGGTAGGCTGTATGTAGCATCAGATTGTCTTTGGTTTTTGTTTTACTTTTTTGGGCCGTACCTGCCCAGGCTCAGCACTTACTCCTGGCTCCGTGCTTAGGGATCACTCCTGGAGAACTCGAGGGACCTTTTGGAATTCCAGAGATTGAACCTAGGTTGGCTGTGTGCAAGACAAGCACCCTAGTTGCTACTCTATTGCTCTGGTTCCCAACAACTGTCTTTGTGATTTAGGGCTTCCTGAAAGACTGTTGAAGGTAGATAAATCACAAAGATATGAATTAGAGCCTATAAAGGAAGAAGAGAAAGATCACTTCCACATAAAACTTGGATGTTTGTAGGCTATGCCAGGTTGGCCACTTGCAGTGCAAGTGTCCTACCCGTTATACTGTTGGCTCAGTTCTGGACCTTGCAGAATGAGAACGAAACCTAGGAACCGGGGATGTAACTCAAAGAGTAAAACATGTCTTGTATGTGCAAGGCCCTGGGTTTGATCCCCAGCACCACGAACTTTCCTACTCTTATCACCAGTGGTTGTGTCCTGAGAGCCCAAGCACCAGTGGTCCGCAGCAGGTCCAAGTACAGCAGGATGTAGCCCCTATGACAAAACAACCTGTTTCTTTAACTAGTTGCATAACAAACTCCCCGGGCTGGAGCAATAGCATAGTGGGTAGGGCGTCTGCCTTGCACGCAGCTGACCCGAGTTTGATTCCCAGCATCCCATATGGTCCCCCAAGCACCACCAGGAGTGATTCCTGAGTGTAGAGCCAGGAGTAACCCCTGTGCATCGCTGGGTGTGATCCAAAAAG